CTTTCCAATGGGGCAGCTGCCTTTGTTCCTGTAAATGACCCCAATAAGTCTATTGGCTCACCAAGATGGAGTCTGGTGTGATTGTTACTTTGGTCTGTCATCAGTCCCTACCTAAGTCTCCCACAACACCTGGTACTGTGCATAGATGAAACAGAGACTAATCCCAAGTGGCCTTTCCTTGCCTGCTTTCAGAAGTGCAAGCCACCCTGGACATGAGGAAGCAGCACAGGGGCCGTGAAGATGGCAGCAGTGTGACAATGGTGGCGGCGGTATGACTTTAAGGAGCACCAGATACACTCACCCTTAGACAGGGGCTTGATCCCAGAGGCTTCGCACCAGCCTGATCTTTTGGGTCATAAGCACCACCCATGGCTTAAAGCTGAAGATCCACACCTTACCTGGGCAGCACGGTGGAGCAGACCCTGCTGACAGGGGCAAGGGAGAGCCCATCCTGTCCTGAGAACTTGCACACGGGAGATCTGGCCCTGCCCCTTGTCTACCCTCCCGCATCCCCTGCCCTTCACTGCCTGAGGAAAGTGGGAGAGCTGACCCTGACAGGTCATATAAGAGCAGGAGCGCCTTCCCTGCTCATCACCAGCTGCAACACTGGGGACAGCGGGCCCTGCACCCCATCTGGGCAACACCATAGAGTTGGCCCTGAAAGTGTAGATGGGAGAGACAACCCTGAGGGTGTGAAAGCAAGCAGGAGAACCTGCCCCACCCCTTGCTCATCCGCTGCTGCAGGGGTGAACTAGCTGGGGCAATGCAGGAGAACTCACCCTGGTCACGAGGACAGAAGAAAACTGGTAGGCAACAACCCAGGCCCAGAACTAGGGCTGTGTATTGACTCATCCCAACATCCACCCCATCTATGATCTGCTGGAGCACGTGAAGGGACCGGACCTGCAGACCCAAAGTTGCAGGATCTCTATGACACAGGACAACAACATGACATCCAGGAGGAGTCCCAGTGAGGGCCTAATATTGGGAATGTAACAGAAACCAGAGCCCTCGAACCAGGCCATTGACTCTGCAATGAACTCTGCAAGTAAAGATGTGTGGTCTAAAGGGGTTTACTGTGTGGCTCACTGTGTCACACTGCAGCTTCCGCCAGGAGAATGTTCTCTTTCTTTTTTTCTTTTCTTTTAAATTTTATTTTATCCTGTACAGGGAAGTTGCAAGGGCAGAGGGCAGATACAAAGGGATGGAGAGATGAGGAATGGGATGGAGATGCCTGACATGAAATCCACAAAGAGTCAAAAGCTAAATCAGGAAAAACAGCAGTGTCCACCAGGGGACGCGGACACCGTCATCTGGCACTGCCCCTGAGTCCTAGGCTTCCAGTTACAGCTGCTGAAGAGCTTGACCACATCGCGTGGCCTCAGAGGCAGCCTTAGCGGCTAGCAGCTGTTTCTGATACTGGCCACAAGGCTTGGCAACAACCAGCTTACTTACCACGAGAACCTGGTTCTGGAGCTCCGTGCCCTGGCTTCACAGCCCAAAATGCCCACTTGATTGAGAAAGAGGGGTTGGGGGAGGCCTTGATGGGACTGCTTGACCGCTGAAGCAGTGTTTGTCTGCAGAAGCCTAGGACCCATCAGGTGGTTCTGGTATGGCAATGTGGCAGGTCCACCCACAGAGCCTATCTGCTCAAAGGCATCCCACCTCTGGGGTGTCCAGGTCTTAGTGACCCTAGCTACACTGAGGCCCAGTTGCTGTATGACCCCTGAGGTGTCTGGCTTCCAAATGCTGTCCTAAGGAAGGTGTGTACTGAGTTATCCTTCCCGCTGGCAGCCATGGACAACTGAAGGAGCGGCTGAAAGTCCAGCAGTGACCAAGAAAAGAAAAGGGGACAGAAGATGACAAGAAAGCAGGGGGCTGGGCTGGAGAGATGACTCAGAGGTTAAGAGCACTCACTGGCTGTTCTTCCAGAGGTCCTGAGTTCAATTCCCAGCAACCACATGGTGGCTCACAACCATCTGTAATGAGATATGGTGCCCTCTTCTGACTTATAGGGATATATGCAGGCAGAATACTGTATACATAATAAATAAATATTAAAAAAAAAAGAAAGCAGGGAGCTGATCAAAGCTATAAGGAGCCCGAGAGAAGAGCCTGCAGGCTCCGGCCACAAGAGTCCCAGAGAGCTGTGAAGTCTTGGGAGCTGAGGGTCTTAGACTGAGCTGTAACACTGGTTGCTGCCCAGGGCCGAGGAGACACAGCTCCTAGAGACTGACCTCGGAAGAGCTTTCCTCCCGTCTACCCGGGGTTTCTCTCCAGGCAGCGCAGAACTCGCTAGCTCACGGATGACAACAGTATTTTCTGCAGCTGATCCGTCTGAGGAAGATCCTACTTACTTGTTTTCAGTACTATTTCATATTTTAAGTTCTAGACTTTTTATGATCTATGTTTTAAGTCTAATAAGACTTAGTAGAGTTTTGTGTTCCTTGCAGTATACACAGTATATACAGTATGTCATTTTTTAAAATTTTGTCACAAACTAGAATCACCTGTGAGGCAGGAACCTTGATTGAAGAACCGCCTCCATCAGATTGGCCCATGGCCTTATCTTTGGGACGTTTCCTTGGTTAACGGTTGATGCATCAGGGCTCAGCACAGTGTGGGCAGTACCACCCCATTCAGAAGGCCCTGGGTTAAATAAGAAAGCAGGCTGAGCAAATGAGTGAGGGGCACTCCTCGGTGGGCTCTGCCTCAGTTCCTGCCTCCAGGTTCCTGCTTGAGTTCCTGCCCTGACTTCCTTCAATAATGGGTTGTGATGGGGAAAGTTAAGCCAGACTGTTTCCTCCCCAGGTTGGCTTTGGTCAGTGTTTTATTTATTTATTTAGTTAGTTAGTTAGTTAGTTAGTTAGTTAGTTATGTATACAACATTCTGCCTCCATGTATGTCGGCATGCCAGAGGAGGGCGCCAGATCTCATTACAGATGGTTGTAAACCACCATGTGGTTGCTGGGAATTGAACTCAGGTCCTCTGGAAGAGCAGCCAGTGCTCTTAACTACTGAGCCATCTCTCCAGCCCTGGTCAGTGTTTTATCATAGCAAGAGAAAGCAAACTAAGACAGGGGACAGCATCTCACTATTTGGCCCAGGCTGTCCTAGACTCCTGGGCTCCTGAGATCGCCTGCCTCAGCTTCCCATGTAGCTGAGACCGTATGCACACTGCACACACCTGGTTAGTATAGCTTTTAAAAATTATGTTTTTCTCATCAGCAAATTAATGCATAGTTTGTAGAAATCTTTAAATTTTGAAAAACGTAAAAATCAGAAAAATTTGGAGTCCCAGTCACCAATGAAGTAGTACATGCTGGTGTGTTTCCCTCTCATGAAGGTAGGAAAATACAGGGACAGAAAATCTGTTCTTTTTGATTACCATGAAAAACAATAAACGTCGCAGGGCTGGAGCCATGGCTTAGGGGTTAAGAGCACTTGTTGCTCTTGCAAAGGGCCCCAGGCTTGGTTCCCAGCAGTCACACAGTGACTCACAGCCATCTGCAACACCAGTTCTAGAGGATCTGACACCCTCACTGGCACTGAGCATCACGTGATACACATACACGCATCGAGCAAACACTGATACATATAAAATAAGTAAGTTTAAAGGAAACTTCAATTAAGTGTCTTCTATGATAATCTGGGTGTTAATGTTTTAGATTATCCCTTCATCTCTAAGAGGCAATATTTCTGTTTATTAAGCTAGTCCCCATCATTGCTCATTTGTAGAGGATTTGGCTTAGCAGCCATAAAAATTGCCACAGTGCCTCTTCCCGTGCTGGCTGGAGTCCAGACCTCACACCTGCCTGGCTTGCTCTGTCTCTCACCTCCAGCCCAGCCATCCTCACCTCTTAATGGCTGGGGTGACCTTTCCATGGCCACTCTACTCCAATGGTGACTAATATGTGACCTGTGGCTTCTGCTCCTTCTCCAGCACCACGTGATGGCTTACCTCTGCAGCTGCCCTGGCCTCATAGATTTTATCATAGGTCAATAAACGGCTGTGTCGCTTCTGCCTCCAGCCTGAAACAGTCCCTCCTGGAGGGATGGGAGGAAAGGCCCATAAAACTACAAGACAATTTTAATAACTCACAGGAAGGCTGGTGAGGCTCCTCTCTGAGCTCAAAGCAAGCAGTAAGCAGTTTGGGAAGAGAGGAGCCTCCTAGGCACAGCTTTCCCGAGCCCTCACCCCTGCTCCGGAAAGGAACCTTCACTCATTCACCTGCAATGACCACAATAAACTCGTAGGGTCATCAAGCTAGACTGGATTCCTACACTCATTTATTTTTCTTCAGTCTGTCCCCTGTGCCCTATCTGGGGCAAGCAGACACTTATTTACATCTTCCCGGGAAAAATCACAGAGCACCAACAGAAACCGGAAACATCCTCCTCTTCCCCAAATGGTTCTGATGAAAGGCAGAGACAAAGTCAGGGGAGAAGAGCCCGTCTGAGGCTGAGGTTGCAGCGGAGGAGGAGCAGACTTGTTCTCTGTCAAGGTCACTGCCTTCGCCATGCCAAACTGGAAATGTCACCACTGTCTGGATAGCTGCACACATTTTAGTAAGAATATAATTTTCTCTTTGTTTCACATTCTGCACTAGCAAGTGGACTGGTATAAGAATGTGAAGCCTCCTTGTTTGGGGGGGAAAGAGGGCAGGAACGAAACAGAGGGAGGAGGGAGGGAGCATGCCCCGGGCAGTTACCTTTACAGAAGAGCGCTCTGATGTGTTAGCACCTTTAATGATGGCTTACTTGACTTACAGACCATCGCACCTAGCATGCCGCCTGGTTCTGCCCTTGCTCCTCCACCTAGATGAACCCAGACACAGCCCGGGGGAGCCAGTATAGGGCATGGCAGGGGGCATGCGAGGCGGGGAGGGGGAGACATTTGGGGCAGTGGGAGGGGGCTGCCTGGCTGTAGCCAAGGCCCTTCTGCTTTGCTTCTAAAGGGTTTAACGTAAGAGCGACTTCTTTTCCACAGTTATGTAGACAAACAACACGATGATGAAAATGCCAAAGATGGCCAGCTTCAAACTCCATGGGAAGCTGTTCTCGGGGTTCTGGCACAGGAAGCTGCTCTCCAGGCTTGGGTCCCCCTGGCAGCAGCCCTCTTCGGTGACACACGCATCCTCCATCCTTGGATTTGGTCTTGCAGCATGCCTGCGGAAACATTTCAGGGGCTCCTAGGATTGAAATCAGCTGCTTCCTGATCTCTTAGGGTAAATGTGTGGGGTCCGGTGACCTATTGGAGCAGCCCTAGACACACTGAAAACCTGCGCTAATGTAAGGTCCCTATCCCGGGTCAGCCTCCTGGAGGGCTCTCAGTGGTGTAAGGCATCCCCTTCTGCTTTTACTGGCCTTTGAAATACTCAGTGTTGGCAAAGCTTGGCTCCAGGAACTTAGGGTCTCTGGGTCCCTCGATGAGAAGTTGCAAACGTGACGGGGAGACATAACAGGTCCTGTTCTGTCTCACACAAACCCAGCACCCCCATCCTGGGTGGACATGGAAGTGCTTTTCCATCTTCCTTAAAATCCACATTTAAAATAACAGGAGGGTTCAGCCCTGGGCACCTGCTGTGCCACCTGTGTGCCTTTTGACACACAGGTGAAGTTCCGGCTACTCTAATCCTGCAAGACCGGCTAATGTTTCCTCAGAAGTTAGAGACTGCTAGTCAGGGAAGGCAGATGGGTCAGAAGTTCAAAGTCATCCTTAGCTAAAGGGTAAATTCAGCGCAGCCTGCTATACATGTGACCATGTCCTAAACACCCCCCAGAAAATAGTTATGAAATATTCTAGAACATTAGGGGGATTATTGTGTGGCTGAGTCATTGATTGGTATTTAGAGACTGAACTCAGGGTGCCATGCTCTCTCACTGAACCACACCTTAGACCCCACTTCAGGGTAATTACCGTTTTTTTGTCTTTGGTTTTGCTTTTTGGAGACAGGGTTTCTCTGTAGCTTTGGAGCCTGTCCTGGAACTAGCTCAGTAGATCTCGGGGCTGGCCTCAAACTCACAGAGATCCGCCTATCTCTGCCTCCCAAGTGCCACCACCCACCCGGCTTATAGTATACCTTTTCTGAGTCATGTCCCTTTTAAAATACTAGCTCTTATCCAGTTTCCAAAACATCTCCCTGGATGACTCCAAATGAGGGCTTGGGTTCTGGTCTGGGTTCCTTGAGGCTTTTGGCATCCTGTCAACCCCCTCCCCAGCACCTGTTTTCCTATCTCCAAATATGGATGAGGAGATACAGATTTTGGCTTTGAAATTATGCGGTATCAAGTCTGTCTTCTCAGCAGGTCCTCTTCAGGTTCAAACCCTTCACAGACATCTGAATGATGAATCCCACCCCCAATAATATCTAGGTCTTTTTATGCTACCAAAGGTCTTACCTGCCGCTGGAAATACAGGTCAGGGTGGAGTTCTTGGCTAGCATGCCCGAGGCCCAAGGACCCGGGACTATCAGGCCTTACCTGACTACCTTTGTGGGCTTCTGGCTCAGGTAGAAGATGTCTAGGATTCTTCTTTTATTACTAGAAGCGTCGCGTCTCTGATACAAAAAGAAAATGCCCACAACAGATTATTTGCAATGTCTTGTAACTTAACTTTTATCCTGGGGGAAAGAATTAATCTGAAAACTGGCCTAAGTTTTAGGCACACCAGGGAGTTTAGTACTTAAAGTCTGTCTTTTCTCTCTGGCCAGCCAAAGCACCCAGTGCCATGAAGAGATATTTTACGTTAGTGACTCACCGGAGGACAAGCAACACCTGAATGGCTCGAGATATGTATTAAAAACGAATTCTGTTACTAAAGCATTAATTCACTTTCTGTTTTTTTTTTAATATTAATTTGTGGCTTGGAAATTGTTTTCTTTTTCTTTCTTCCACTTTAAAACAAAACAAAACAAGCGGCTGGGTGGTGGTGGCGCACACCTTTAATCCCAACACTTGGGAGGCAAAGGCAGGCGGATCTCTGTGAGTTTGAGGCCAGCCTGGTCTACAAAGTGAGTTCCAGGACAAGATCCAAAGTTACAGAGAAATTCTGTCTAAAAAAAAAAGAAAGAAAGAAAGAAAAAGAAAAACAAAAAAAAAACAAAAACAAACAAAAAAAACCACAAAAGCACTTGTCATTTCCATGTAAATCATATAGTTATTGAAATAAATGTCTGTGAACAACTACTAGAAAACAATGTAAGAAATAAACCATTTCTCTTTAAAGAAACGTATTTTCTTTTTTTCAAAGACTTATTTAGGGGGCTGGAGAGATGGCTCAGTGGTTAAGAGTATTGCCTGCTCTTCCAAAGGCCCTGAGTTCAATTCCCAGCAACCACATGGTGGCTCACAACCATCTGTAATGAGGTTTGGCGCCCTCTTCTGGCCTGCAGACATACACACAGGCAGAATATTGTATACATAATAAATATTTTTTTAAAAAAGACTTATTTATTTCTCTTTGGATGTGTGTGTATGCATGTGCCTACATGTCTGTATGTCTGGCATGTGTGTACAGGTTCCCAGGGAGGTCTGAGGAAGGTGATAGATCCTCTGGAGCTGAAGTTATAGGTGGTTGTGAGCTATAGACATAGGGTTCTGGGTATTG